GCTAGCGAATATGAACAAGTCGTACTGCTCGGGACCAAACGGCGAGAAGCAACTCAAGAAGAACAATGTCAGACTGATCTACAAGGACCCGAGGCTTTTGGTGGTCAGGCTGACTACAAGGGAGTTGGACATTTTCGTTTACGTGGTGCACGCCCCGCATGAGAGGCACGAGAGTATCTCGTACACTGAATGGTGGGCCAAATTACAAGAGATGATGTCGCGGTGGCCGCCTTCTATCGTACTCGGAGATATGAATACCAAGATCGGGCAGGCAGAGGTAGCCTCGAGCGGTTCTCGGGAGTTAGTTGGCAGATTCCACCCAGAATACTGTGTCCCTGCTTGCGACGACGGACCTGCAAAAGCTATGCGTCAGGTACTCGAAGCACACCAGTTGTCTCTTGCTTCTACTTGGCACCCGCATAAAGGGGGACACACATATACCTCTATTGCTGGAGTACGACATCGTCTTGACCACATTCTCCTGGATTCACATTGGGCTGACACAGTAACTCACTGCCAGGTTGACTATGGATTCGACACCTACAGTGATGGAGAATACCATCATCCAGTTATTTTGGATTTGAAGACGAGCGGCGTCCGCACAGCTGGCAAGCAGCGTTCGGCGTTACATCTTGATCAGTCTAAGCTCAAGGACGAGAGCAAGGTAAGACAGTTCACCACGATTTTGGACAACGCCGTACTGCCTGAGTGGGAGCTTGATGTAAACGACCACCTTGAAATGACGAATCAGCTGGTCAGGCGGGCGGCTAGAACATGTTTCGGTACCAACAGATTGACTTCTTATAAAAAGTATGTTTCTGAGTCTACTATGGAACTGGTCCGACTACGTCGGTACGTTATGCGGGCACGTCGTTGGCTTCCTGAGCACACTGAAGCCAGACCACCTTGGCGAGAAATACTTAATCATCTGGATGACCCGCTTTTTCGACCCTGTCAGGAACGGCCTTGGCAATCTGACGTTCGTCAGCTTCGTTGTCATGGACAAAAAATGCGAGAGGGAGGCTTCACGGCGAACGAATTTCAAGAGCATCTTCGTACATTCTTGGCTAATACTGCCAAGAAAGTTCGGCGAGCAGTTGATGTTGACCGCACGGCCTTCTTGGAAGACCTCTCGCGGCAGATGGATGTGTGTGCTGCAAATAATGAACCACATGGGGAGTGGCGACTGCTTAAGATTTTGCTCAAGTATGGAGGCAGGCAGGGTAAATCTAGTAGATCTCCCATGTTGGTGGACTCGGCAGGGCAGGTGGCGACGACGGATAAGGAGGCCGATTTGATGATGCTAGAGTACTTCGCAAACATTGAGGACGCAGAGCTAATGGACGCTAACGCTTTGAGGGTAAAATACAACGAGCGCCTGCATCATGACATTGATGGTACAGATTTGGACACCGCTTGCCTACCGCATGTTGGATTGGTTGCAGGGATGTTTTCACAGGTCAAGCGGCGCAAGGCTCCAGGAAAGGATGATATACATGGCGATCTTCTGCGTCTTTGTCCTCGCTCCGCTGCTCGGCACTATGGGCCGATTATGTTCAAGACGAGCGTTTACCAGCAGGAGCCGTTCGATTGGAAGCATGGCACCGTTTTCCCTCTTCTTAAATCAGGTGGACCAGGGCAGCAACTGCAGACGTATCGTTCCATCCTGTTGAATGGAGTGGTGAGTAAGTGTTGGCATAAATTTCTACGGCAGCAACTCACACGATATCTTGACGTACTCCTTCGCGACACCCAGTGTGGAGGTCGACCTGCCAAAGGCCCTGCGTTGCTGGTTCACATTGCAACTTCGTTTATTCAAGCGGCGCAGCTCCAAGGTCGCTCGGCTATTCTATATTTTATTGACTTGGTGCAAGCCTTCTATTCGGTGGTGCGCAGCATGGTTCTACCTCGGCTTGGCGACCCAGATGGAGACGACGAATACATTGTACATCATCATGACTTGCCCATAGCGATGCTACCCCTGTTGACTTTTATCTTAGCACAACCAGCAGCCTTGGATGGTCTTGGAGCACATCCTCACCTTTTGGCCCTACTGATCGAAGGACATCGAGATGCGCACTTTGGCACTAACACCCTAAGCACCGTTGCCAGGTCGCGTAGGAGCTCGCGTCCAGGAAGCTCTTTGGCCGACGCGATCTTTAACGCAGCGTTTTGCAAGCCTCTCAAGAGCATCGACGAGGCCCTACGTCCGCTAGGTGCCAGCTTGCCTCTGCGGGTGGAAGGAGTTCAGAGCTGCTTTGCACCTGCGGAATCACAAGACGACCCCCACCTCACGGATATTTCTTTTGTTGACGATGCCTTAATTATGCAGTCTGTTGAGCCATTGCAAGATCCTATACAACTTGCTGGTGAAGTTGCTGATGCAGTCCACGTGGCTATGCTCTCGCACGGCTTTTTGGTCAACTACAAAAAGTCCAAGTCAGCCATGTTCATTATACCTAGCAGACAAGCATCTGTTGACTTGCGGGATCGACTTGATAACGAAGACGAACTTCTGATTATACCTACACGGTGGGATATTCAGGTGCATGTGGTGAAGGAGTACAAGTACTTAGGGACGATGATCAACCGCCGTCTCGAGATGGGCCCTCGGATAGCACACCTTGTACAGAAGCAGAAGACAGCGGCCATGCCTGTTAAGAAGATGATTTCGAAATTTGGGGGTATGACGAGGCCAGCGAAAACGAATCTAGTTGGCACCTTGGCCAACGTGCATCTTACTTATTTGGCCGAGACATGGACGGCACTTAGTGAGTCACTCTTGCAACGGTTGGAGACACCGCGAATCGCGACATATCGCTTGGCACAAGGGTTGCAGCATCATCGCCAGACTACTAGTTTCTACAACGACGAACAAGTCTTAGGTGCTGCGAGGAGACTGCATCTACGAGATATTATTCGCAAGAAGAGGTTAATGTACTTCGGGAAGATGTTTTTGCAGGCTCCTGTTGTCCTATGGCTTCTTCTTGACCAATTGGCTGGCGAACGGGGATCCTGGGTTTCATTACTTCGTGATGACTTGGAGTGGCTTGATAGTTACAGCAAGGACAGAGCTCGCTCAGCTTGGACGGTGCAGCAGTGGTTCCAGTACGCCAGGTCGAATACGAAGAGTTTTTTGAATGAAGTCAAGACGGCATGGGAGTATCACGTGTATAGAGAACTTGAGAATGCCCAAATGCAAATTGCAGAACGAAGTCTCAACGCTCAGCTGGCGCCGGCGGTCAGCACGGACTTGGAGAAGAAATTTGTGTGCTATACTTGCGGATGGGTGTGTTCGAAGGAGTCTGCCTGGCGCAAACACTTCTTGGACCATCAGCCGATTGATGGAGCCCAGTTGGCAGCACGAGGTACGCAATGTGGAGCTTGTGGCACAGCTTTTGGGGATCGCTCCAACCTGTTACGGCACCTACGCAGGCGAGGCAATAGGTGTATTGCATGGCTCTTGGACAACGGGGACCTTCTTTCCACTGATGAAGCTGAACTTCTGCGGCAGGAGGATTTACGACGTGAGCGGAAGCAAGTTCAGCAAGGATTTAATTACAGGGTGGTTAGACAACGGGCTCGCTACGGAGATCTTCTTGGGGGCAAGGGTGGCAGGCTGGTTCCTGTCAAAGTCCCTGAAGTATGGCTACCAGTACGTGAGGTACCTAATGCAATTCGACGTATTGAGACTGGCGACCCCAGTACAATGGTATTGCTTAATATTTTTCAAGCTGAGGGCGACGTAGAATTCTCAGAAGCGCTTCATCAGGCATGTGGCCTTGACATTGAAACATATTCTGAACGTGACGAGGATGGCACTGTTGTTGGACTACAAGAGGCGCAGATGAGGACGATCGTTACTCGGATGCAGTCAGGTCATGTAGGTGCTATTCTAATCCATCTTAGTGGGAGAACGTGGCTCGGAGTTGGACCTGGCCAAGGGCGTACTCAGACTGAACCTTGGGGTATCCGACGACTGCCTCCCCAACGCCGACATAACTATGCTGGTGACAATTCTCAGGTGAGGTCTGCGTGGGGGTTACTGCAAGCAGGTACTATGTCTGGCGTTCCTGTGGCGGTCATAGCGGAGCGCAAGGCGTACGACAACATGAAGAACTTCATGCCAGACTTCGAGACTATTGGGGCCCGAGTTGGCCACACTGAGATTGACACTTGTATGTTCGGCGCTACAGAATCTAGAGAGATGATAATTATTCACACACATTGCGACTATCAGATGGAGCTGCGTCATCATGGGCCCGAGCGTTGCTGCCACGAATACCATGGACAACATAGCCACTATGTTGAACTTCCACGAGTCGTTGGTGTTCTGATTGGGCGGGCCTTCAGAAGGGCCCGCTTCTTCATGATTCTGTCGGCGAGTCTTCGCAGGAACCTATAGGTTTGCTTTGGAGCGATTGTGTAGGGGCGGGACGATCAGTATCTGTGTGCTTTGCCCAGCCTGCAGGCTGAGAGGAGCCTCGCGAGGCTACCGTTTGTCTAGTCGCCTTGGGCGACAATAATCTGGAGGAGGAGTCGGTTGAGTGGATTTTGGTGGAGGAGGAGTGCTTGAATGTGGAGCTGTTCTTCTCCTTTAGGTTAGGGGACGGGGGGGGCACGGGAGGCGCAAGTGGTAAGGCGGGCGAAACAAACCGTCGAGCGCCACCCCAAGCCTCCCCGTCCCCCAAATTCCTGCTTTTGAGCCCGTGACTCGCCGTCCTGGCGGCGTGCTACCAGGGGCGAGTCACCTTTCCCTTCTCCACCCCGTCCTGGTGTAATTTGACGTCCTCATCTCTTCCTTGCTCCTGCTGGTGTCGTCAATCGACGGCTACAATGCTGGCTCGTGCGCCCGCCCGAGCACGTGGTTGGGATGAGGGCGGAGATGTTGTGGGTGTACCTTGGTCAGGATGGCAACGCTCGACGGGCGCCGAGAGTGCACGCTCCTTGCAGCGCTTCATGCGTGTGCTGTCGGCCTCGGGGAAGGTCGAGGCCTCTGCACCCTTGCTTCGCTCGGCAGTCGGGGGCGCCGACTGCCGAGTACACTGACGCTTCAGCGGCTGGACCGCTCTGAGCTCGACCAAGAAAGAAGGACGACGAGGCGGAAGGGGGGGGGGAGACGAGGACGCAGAGGACCAGGCGCTGGGACGATCTGGGAGCGCCCGCGCGCTCAAGGGTGGCGCACACATCCCCCTCCCAAGGATCTCACGCTGCGGCAACCTTGCTGGAGTCGCACTGCCCAGTGACGCAGCAGTACTCCTTCTTGGCAGCGGACCAGCCAGTCTCCCACCTGCTCAGGCCAGCCTCGCAGTCGAACTTCAGCTTCGGCTTCGTGGTCGAGCACGCGATGCCCTTGTGCTCGCAGCACCAGGAGATCCGCCAACCCCCGCTTATGAAGGTGCTGGATGCGCGTGTGCCTTCCCCCCCCGCCCCATCCCCTTCAGAGGCCCTGGCGAGGCTTACGTACATTGAAGCAGCTGTAGGGGTCAACTGCGCCTGTCCGTTTCGCAGGGGAAAAGGATTGCAATGTCGAATCGGTCTTGCAAGCCAAGCCCCCCCCCCTGGCAATAGCACACGCCGCCCCTGCTCGGCACAAAACGCATGAGGGGTGTGCCCCCAGAAGCAGGTGGGCACATGTGACCGTGCTCGCTGGTGCTGCGGTTGCGGCTCCTCACGGAGCCAGGTGCGTGAGGTGTGTGTGTGTGTGTGTCTGTGTGTGTCGAACTGGATAAGCGGGCGAATGCGGCTTTCCCCATTTGAACTGCTCTTGGACAATGTCCCTATGGCATAATCCGCCACCGTGCATCTAAGCACTGAGTGGGCGTGTCCTCAGGTCCTGTGCCTAATCCCCTGACCCTCAGTCCTTGATCCTAAGGGTTGTGAAGGGGCCCGGACAACAAATTCTCAAATCTACCAGGGCCTGTTGCGTGCCCCCTATGCTCCGGGGCATATTATCGCATGACTTTTTCTGGCCCAAGCTGGCCCCGACACGAGACAGGAGGGCCCCAAGAGGCCCCCAAAACGGTCCAACAGGGCCCTGAGGCAGATTGAAGGGCTTTGATCTTGTCGCCTTTTCGTCTCCCCAACGCTTCAAGACGGCCCAAGAGGCCCCCAAGATCGCCCCAAGACGACCCAAGAGGACCCCAAGACGGCCAAGACGGCCCAAGAGGTCCCCAAGACGGCCCCAAGAGGAGCCCAATAGGGGGAACGCGAAGTGAAAATTTGAGCTTCCAGCCCCGAGAGGCCCCCAGGAGGCCCCAAGAGGCCCCCACGAGGCCCCCAAGGCCCCCAAGAAGCCCCAAGAGGCCCCCAAGAGGCTTGAAAGAGGCCCCCTAGCGATCCTCAAGAGGCTTCAAACCTGCTTCCAAGAGGCACCCGAGAGGCCCACCACGAAATCCCAAAGAACACTCAAGAGGCTTCTGACCCACAACTCAGGCACGGTGGCGGGATGGGCCGAAGGCCACTCGATAACCTGATCCACTCTCTATATGTGCTATTTGTGTTGACTCCTGGCCAAACTCGATCCTCACATTTGCCGCCAATGTTTGCTGCCTGCGCGCTCGATTATCACAGTCGTGTTTAGGGGGAAAACAAACCTACCTCGCTTTTGACCACCCTCGCTTCCAAGAGATACCAAACGATGCCAAACTACGGCCTGTACTGGTCAGGCCGCTTGACGAGGAGGCGCGTGGTATGACTTGGTTTTGCCTGGAAGCGAAAGCGGGGTAGGTAATTCACGCTCTGAGTGTTGGTATTTGTTCAGTGGGGCCCTCATTCCAAAACTGACTTCTCGATACAGCCCTCCCCGCTTCGACTGATACCCGCGCAGGGCCCCCGAACGGCAATATGGAGATGTTCTGGCAGGGGGAGGGGAAGAGGCTTTGCAATCATGGAGGAGGGGATGAGATGAGATGAGACCGATCGCGAAGCGAGTCAATCATGGAGGAGGGGGAGCGCGAGGATGGAGGGAGGAAGGGGCGGCATCTTCCAGTGGGCATGAGGGAGCCCCCCGCACAGGATCTAGCGACGGAAACAACGTGACCGCCAAGGGAGAGGTGATGTAGGCACGGCCTTTGACCTCTGTTGGAACCGATCGCGAGACGCAAATCTGCCAGCCGTGCGCAATCACAGCATACAGTCACATACACGACATAACGACACCGCGTAGAGCCTACGAGTGCAATCCATGTTTTGCAGAGGGGGTGGTCGATGGGTGCAAGCCTGATGAATCTTCTCAGCGGACCAGGTCTCTAGCACGCTCTCCTTGTCCGAGGAGTCGCAGTTGTGCACAAAACTGGTGGTGGTGGTCTGGGTCGCGGGTACACAGACGACGTTTGGCTGGTTGCAGCACAGTGCCTTCTGTTCCACGGACCAGCTTTCTTCCCAAGTCTCGAAGCCATCTGTGCAATCCATGTTCGACTTCGGAGCGTGGGTGGCGCATCGATCATAGTTATCGCAGCACCACGCCTGCTTCTGCGGCTCCACCTCGTTGCTCCAAAACCCGGGGTCGGCATCCCAACCATCATCGCACTCATAAGGCAACGGCGTCTGCATGGCAGTCGCTCCAGCTGCTACCATCGGCGGCGGCGCGGCATGCTGCCAACGACTCCGCAGGACACTCCACAACACCGAGAAGTAGATGAGCAGTGCGAGGGCCACACAGCAAGACACACCGCCGCAGAGGAGCCTGAAGCGCTGAAAGTCGACCGGCTTCGGCCCCTCCTACGCAGAAGGCATCTATACACCACCACCGTGCCAGGCCAGGGCCAGCCTGGCCCTGGCACGGTGTGTACGCCGTCCTGGCCGAGGCCAGGTGGGTCTATACGCCATCCTGGGCCCCAGGATGGCCCTGGCCTGGCACGGTGGTGGTGTGCAGATGCCCTCGTCGGCCCCTCCTCGAAGATGCGCTGGTTGTGGTCGCCGGCGCCCGCGCCCACGTACTTGTAGTCCTTGACCCAGCCGCCGCGGCCCATGCCCACGTAGTCCCAGGCCGGCGGGGCGCCGAGCTCCTGGGGCGGCGAGGTGTGGAGGAGGAGGAGGAGGAGGAGGAGGAGGAGGAGGAGGAGGAGGAGGGGAGGAGGAAGAGGAGGAGGAGGAGAGGAGGAGAAGGAGGAGGAGGAGGGAGGAGGGAGGTGGAGGAACACGAGAGAGGAGGAGGAGGAGGAGGAGGAGGAGGAGGAGGGAGGAGGAGGAGGAGGGAGGAGGAGGAGGAGGAGGAGGAGGAGGAGGAGGAGGAGTAGGCCTGCGCCACTGCCCCCTGGCCGGCCAGGGAGGGCGCATATCCACCGCTCCCTGGTCCGCCGGGGAGGGGCCCCCGGCCAGCCAGGGAGGGGCCCTGCCCTCCCTCCCTCCCTCCCTCCCTCCCTCCCTCCTCCCTCCTCCCTCCTCCTCCTCCTCCTCCTCCTCCTCCTCCTCCTCCTCCTCCTCCTCCTCCTCCTGGCCGGGGGCAGTGAACACGCATAGGCCTCGTCGCCCGAGCGCTCCTCCATCTGCGGGGTCAGCCAGTACGACCCCCAGTCCCGCATGTAACCGGAGCCCGCATCGCAGCATCCGTCGTCCACGGAGAGCCAGGTGCCCGTGGGACCTGGCGTGGAGGAAGTGGGTCCTGAGAGAACAGGAGGAGGAGGAGGAGGAGGAGGAGGAGGAGGAGGAGGAGGAGAGGAGGAGGAGGAGGAGGGAAGAGGAGGAGGGAGGAGGAGGAGGAGGAGAGAAGAGGGGGAGGGAAGAGGAGGAGGAGGAGGTGGAGGAGGAGGAGGAGCAGGAGGAGGAGGAAGGCCTCCCTTTGTATTGTTTTCTTCATCCTGAGTCGTTTTTTATGCCGGTCCCACGGTCTGACGAGGGCCCTGGGAGCCGGAACGCCAGGAGAACTCGCAGGAGCCCTCTTCCTCAGGACCCCATGTCAATATTGCGCTCCTGAGGGCTCCCCCCCCAGACCTCTCTTTGGCCTGAGCGTGATCGGACCAGAATTAAGAGAGGAACCCAGCCGAGGCGACGAGAAGCCTCACAGAGACCCCAAATGGAAGAGAAGCTGAACGCGAGATTTCGACCCTTCGGTGGCAACTCATGGGAGCCTGCCATACAATCTTGCTGGCTCTTGCGAATCGACGCTGACCGACGCGTCTAATCGACGCTGAAATCGACGCGCAATCGACGCAACTTCGGCGCTACCTCACTGACTACCAGACGCTAGTCGACGCCAGTGCACTCCAAAGACGGAGTTGCGCCCCCGAAGATCCCTGGCCCAGGCATCCGATGGAGCCTCCCCCCTGAGTCACCCCCCATGTCGTTGCCCCTGATAGCCCGAGCCCCTTCCCGCACCGTCGCGCCCTCGCGCCCCTGTCGCTGCCCCTGATAGTCCGAGCCCCTCCCCGCGCCCTCGCGCCCTCGCGCCGAGAGCAGCTCATGGACGCGGGGCTCCCCCCACACGGGCAGCTCACTGCCTGGCACTCCTGGCCGGGCCAGGGCCCCGTGACGCCACCAGCCTGCCGCCTCTCGGTGGGGATCGACGCCCCAGTACTCGAGTTCGGTCGGGCATGTCCTCCTGCAGGCCGATTTCGGATGAACAATTACACTGCTCAAAAGATGCCCAAACGTAGTTTGGGGAATCATGGAAAAATCCTCCCCATGCGATGCTTCTATTATCTTTTAAACTACTCCTCTTGCAGAGGGGACATGCCCGACTTAGCACTCGAGGGAGACGGCATCTGTCCCCACCTGGGGAGGCAGGTCGACCACTCGGGTCGGGCGCAAGGGGGGGATAGCAAAGGGGGGGGGGGTGAGAATCAGCTCACGTGGCTGATTTTCCCCGCGCCTCCCGGAGGCGGCCATGTATCCAGGAATGGGCCCGGCGGCGGGGCCGAAACCAGCTGCACGCAGCAGATTTCGTACCCCCCCTTTCCCACTCCCCCCCTTCGATCGGACCGAGGGAGGCAGGTCGACCAGAGCCTGTTTTTTTTTGGATTCAGGTTTTTTTCTGGTGTAAGCTTGTACTTCCCAGACCCCCCCGTCATGATTTTCTTCATGACGTCGACCCCGTGCAAGTGCCTTTCGACTTGCGTGACCCGTTTTTCATCCTGAGTCGTGCTTGCTTCGGTCCCTCAGGCCCCCCCCCCCTCGAAAGGCAAGTACGTAAACTTGCCAGAGTCTAAAAAACAGGCTCATTCCGCAACCCCCCCTTTCCCACTCCCCCCCCTCTCGTTCGGACCGAGGGAGGCAGGTCGACCACCTCCTCTGCCGGGCCCGTGGGCCCCGGAGGCCTCGGCCCCGTCCCTGGGGGGGGGGGCCCTGCGCCCCGGGCGCCCTCCCATTGCGGAGGCCCTGCCGGAGGAGGCCCGCGAGGGAGCGGCCCACGGAGCCTGCAGAAGGAGGACACGCAGCAGATTTCGTAACCCCGCCTTTCCCAATCCCCCCGTTCCGTCTGGCCCAAGCCTCGGGGCAGGAGGCAGGCAGGAGGCCTCGACCCCGTCCCCGGGGGAGGGCCCTGCGCCCCGGGCGCCCCCCCATTGCGGAGGCCCTGCCGGAGGAGGCCCGAGAGAGCGGCCCACGGAGCCTGCCAAAGGAGGACGCGCAGCAGCACCGTCAGGGGGAGGGTTTTTCGCTTGCTCTCTTGTGCAGCTGTTGTCCTGGAGAGCTCGGACCTCCCCTGTATTCTGGTCGTCGTCGTTCGTTCGTTCGTTCGTCGTTCGTCCTCCCCCCTCCCCCCCGGGCACAGGAGGAACCTCCTGGAGGAAGGAGGCGAAAGCCTCCTGTCCCTCGCAGCTCCTTGGTGCAAGAGCCAGGGTATGCGGGCCACTTGTTCGGGCGATAAGGGGGATGGGGGGATGGGGCCGGCTTGCGTCCTGGGCATCGTTTTGTCCGCGCCCCAGAGCCGTGACAGAGGGTGGTGCGGGCCCGCGCTGGTAGGGCGGGGAAAATGCAGAGCGTGGGGGGACTTTTTGGGGGGGGGGGGGGCAACGCCGAGAGGGGGGCATAACTCGTGTTATGGCCCAGCGGGTACAAACAAAACGCTCTCTACAGACGTAGCCCCGCCCGAAGCCCAGATGCAGTCAGGCAGCTGAAAACGGTCGGACTGAAAGCAAAAATCCGCCCAAAGCCCAGATGCAGTCAGGCTGCGTCCCACTCTCCTGCTGAAGAAGGATGGGGACTAGAGTGACAGGGTAACGAAGAATAACAAAAACACAAAAACTCGGAGGTCCGCGCGGATGTCTCGGATCGGCGCTGGACCCCCATCCCTGGAGCTCGGAACGCGCCAGGGGCGGCGCCGGAGGCGCCGCGAAGGGGGTCCAACGCGGATCCGAGAAATCCGCGCGGACCTCCGATTTTTGTTGGAGGTTTATGTCACCCTTCGTTTCTGTAAGCAAACCACCGACGCGTCAAATGCTGCGACACGCCCTCCCGTCCGTCCGGAGCTGCCTCTGCACAAGTCCCTACAGGCCTGTCGGTTCACCGCCATATGCGCCCCCTTTGAGAGACGACCACCCTGCGGGCCTGCAGTTCAGGCGAGCGCCCCACTTTGCAAGGAAAGTGCCATGCATTTCCTCCTCCCCCTCCTCCTCCTCCTCCTCCTCCTCCTCCTCCTTATCCTCCTCCTCCTCGTGTTCCTCCTCCTCCTCCTCCTCCTCCTCCTCCGGGGGTGACCAGGCGTGTGGGATATTGTTTGGCTGTCACCCCCCTCCATTCCGCCTCCCCCAGGCGACAGATTGTTATCCCTGGTGAGGGCCGGTAGCCGCGGGGGATGGGACGGGACCCCGGGGGTAACGAGAACGCTTGGGCGGGGTGGGCCACGTTGGGGCGCGGGTGCGCCGCGATCGCCATGTCCTGAGCGCGAGCACCAGCATGTGGGGGCGGTGGGGTCCAAACAGGCCTCCCCTCCCTGCGCACGATCGTTGCTGTAACCGGGGAGGGGAGACGGATTGGCGCCAGTGACGGCAGTTACGCGCCAGAGGATGAGACACAACAATCTCCAGGGTCCCGACCCCCATCTCTCTGCGCCATTTTCTGAGCCGGATCGATATGTGAGGGTCTCGGGGCCCGAATCTGGGTGAAACCCCCCGGCTCGAAAAAATTGAAACACCAGGATCTCAGGGCCATGACGGGCCAAAGGGGCTCCGAAACGGCCCAAGAGCGCTCCAAGACGCCCAAGATGTCCTCGAGACTGCCCAAGCGGCCCCCAAGACGCCCCAAGAGCGCTCCAAGATGCCTCCCGCGAAAGAAAATACATTTTCCAAATTTTGAAGAATTTGAGCGCTACCGTCTTTTCGGGCTTCCGACGCTCCAAGACGACCCCGAGGGCCCCAAAGACAGACCCAAGACAGCCCAACAAGACCTCACGAGGGGCCCCAGGACGGCTCAAGAGGGTCCCAAAAGGACCCAAGAGCCCCCACAAGACAGCCAAAGACGGCCCGAGGAGGGCCTCAGGAGAACCCCAAAGACGGGGAACACGAACGGGCACCTCGAACCCTCCTCTGCCCCAGATGTCCCCCGAGACCACCACCGGGACCCCTAGAGGCCCCCCCCTAAGACCCAGGAGGGCCCCCTTGAGGCCCGAATGAGGCCCCAACAGAAGGCCCCCCGAGAGGCCCACAAGACACCCCAAAACCGCCTTCGAGAGGGCGCCATGAGCACGTACTGTATACTTGTAAACGTCGTGAGCCGGCTCCCTCCCGCAGCCATTCCCGCAGGAACCCGCCCCGACCAAGTTGGAACCCAATATAAAGGAGGCCCCAGCGGCGACCCCCGACGACCTCGCTTGACCCAAAGAGGCTCCACGAGGGGGACCTCGACAAGGCCCCGAAAAATCAAACACCTTCCCGTCGTCCTTGTCGTCCTCGTTCTTCTTCCTCTTACTCCAACCCCAGACCCCCTCGAGTAATGGAAACAATCATGACGGGAGGTTTTCTGATTTTTCGGCTTCCGAGGGTCCTCGCCGGGCCTCGGGAGCGTCAAAAAACAACTCGGGATGCAAAGCCGGTCCTGGGGAAAGGGTCGGGACCTCTGGGGGTCGACGCAATGAACAAATCATCACGTCGGGGGTCTGGAGTCCTTGTCGTGCTCGTTCTCCTTCTTCTTGCTCCAACCGCCGCCGTCGCCGTCCACTTCATCCTCTCCCCCCTGCTCCTTCATTCTCTCCCTGGGCCGGCGGGATGACGCAGGCCTGTCGAATAGTCCAGAGCGGCGGCCGACTGGACGAACAGGCGCATGGTGCTCGGCTCGTCCAGGCGGCCCGCGCAAGCGGAGCGCACCACCGAGCGCAGACTGCGGCCGGCGATGTCCTCCAGCATCAGCGCCACACACGACGGCGACTCCACGACGTCCAGGGCGACGATAATGTTGGGATGCTTCAGCCCGCTGAGGAGATCGAACTCCCGCTTCGCCAGGGACGTCTCGCCCGCATCCGAGCGGCGCATGGCCTTGATGACGACCCTCCTGTTGTCGTGGAGTCGTCGCGCACGGTAGACCACACTGGAAGAGCCGCTGCCAATCCGATCAAAGTTGGCAAAGTTCTTGGTCACGCGCTCACACCTGAGATGATCTGGCGCATGGGCCCCGACTCCATCGGCCAGTTGAACGGCAGGACTTGCCAAC